GAAAGAAATCAGCTGACACATGAACGTTAGGCTGAAAGAATGCAAGCAGCTGAGCTCCATATGACGCAAGTGAGAATGGAGCAACGCATCCACCACCCACGCCGGAAAAAATATATTAACCGCATGTCTTTATTTTCCAATTAATTCCAGTACATTATTAATAAAAGCTTCTTGGTGCTTCATCAAGACTCATCATCACTTGTGGCCTTCAGTGTAGACTTGTAAACTTTTATCAGTGCTCATTTTTATCTGCTGAATAAAAACACATCAACGCCACGCTCTCTTCACCTCCAACAAACTTGTGAAACCAAGACCATGTTTACCATCGCAAATGTCAGCTGTTTAAACAAAAAATTAAGAATGAAAAATAAGAGGAGATGTTGCAAACAGAATTAATACGTTTTACCTAGTCCTTTGATTGCCACACCTAAACTTATAGCCTCAGGGGATTAACCATCCACCTTACTGCAGTGTGTGCTTCAACAAGAGAGCTGAGAGCACCCAAGAGTGAGTCACACAAGGCATACCAAGCATAAAAGACAATAAGCGCAAGATAAGTTTGATTTCTTTGGTTTACTTGCTCAATTGTCCCAGATATTATGAAACAAGAGCTGTTCTCATCAAGAATTCTCTCTTGCTAACCATAACCATGTGAGCTGCTGCTTTTGCTGCCCTCCATAAAGAGCGGAATGAAAGAGCTGCAGGAGGAGAAAATGTTTCCCATGGATAGGCATTTACCACAATTTGTGTCTCATAACGTCTGCCACTGAGTGATGGCCACCATCAAATGCATGTTTAGCGCTCCAGAGTGAGTTAGATTTATTTTGCAGGCCCAGATTAAACACAATAAAACATTTCAAGCTGCAGAAGACTATTACTGCTGATGAACAAACGCCAGCAGTTCTAACTTTCATATACAACCACTGGACCTGAGGTTTCGATGACAATAGAGGGGCCCAAAAATGTAAACAATAAGTCAACAGCGAGAAGCCCTCCAACATCATGCCATAACAATAGATCCCACTTCACTGACAAACACAAATGCACAATCATAAACGGTCCCAGCCTGTGCTCACTCAACCTGGCTATAATCGCATCAAAAAAAACACATGACTTCCCCACAGAAAAGTATCAGCCAGGCTCATTTGTGCGCATGTGTGTGTGTGGATGTGCCAAAAAACAGAAGAAAAATCAGCAGTCTTCATCTGGTAGGCTTCAACTCAACAAAGGCAACACAAAGCCATGCCGACACCATTCCCCCCCTTACTCACTCTACCTCTCCAAGACATGCCACCGTTGGCCCAGAATGCACTTCTTCACTCTCAAAAACAGGTCGCCATGGCCCCTAACCTATTCAATCTGTGCAACACCCCGGCCTCTCACTCCCCATGCAAACTCTGTTGTAGCCTCACAGTTTGTGATGCACAAAGTCAGTAAGTGACCCTCACATTTCACTTACACAAAGACATGCATGACGCGGGCTAGCTCTACCCCTTCAGCCGTCCCGCTCTCCAGTTTGTTTCTGAAAGGATGATTGACGTACACACAATCTATTCCTTTCTTTTCTATTTTTTCCCTTTCCTTAAAAGATCATAAGAGCTTTGGCATGTTAATTAGGTTTGTATTCTATAAAACTACTATAAACACTAATATATCCATTTGGAAAGGATTTAAATACTAAAATCCCTTCAAATCCTTGTTTATATGTATGTGACATTTCCTCTCACTGCATTCACACTCTGAGATTTACATTCAGTTAGCAATGAGAAATGTATCAAAACACACGGACGAAAACAATAATTACAAGGAGGTAAAAACAAAAAAGGCCACACAACACAACTATGTTAGTCTATGAAAAGAGTTCCATAAATAACTTGAGTATCCAGCTGTGGCTGCCTCTAAAGGTTTACATATCAAAGAATGCATGAAGGACAGTTTACAATCACACTCAGTAGAGAACAGGAGTCTCCCAGAAGGAAGCAAAATCTAAAGGACAGCAACAATGTGAAGAACTGTGTGGCGTAACTGGATATAATAATGGTTTTATTTACAATAATTAGAAGTCTGTCAATCGTGACCCTGACTCATCACTTATGCTTATGTTAAAAACTAGTTTTATCACAGCCTGATAAAAACCTCAATAAATAAATATGACTTACGATATTTCCTGCAGTCACTAGAAGCACAGCTTGTATTTTCACCAGGAAAAAAAAAGCAAAGAAAAAGACATCTCCCTTGGCTATCATCAGCACATTGCTCCATTCAATGACACCTAACAAGTTTGCGCTTGTCAAAACTCACTCAAAGGAAAAGAGGGCAGGCAATCACACTGAAGGAAATTACGGCAGAACTACATAATCTTTTAAAAGGTCACTGGAATTTGTTGAACATTGCACGTGTAAGTGCAAAAAATGCAGTACTGATCATTGGATGAGTCACAATGAGAAGTCCTCACTGAAAGTTAGTCATAACTCACTTTTGTCATTATTATTGCTAAAGTTTGTTCTTGATGTCAGCTTGAGTAAACACTGCAGATGTTTCTTGATTTGTTTGGTTTATGATGTAGCACCACTTCCCCTCACAGTGCAACAGTGTGTCAGGCAGAGAGAATATTACTCCCTGGGTGGCTTTCCAAAGATGGACCTCCACCCTGCACCGCACTTCAAGGACACGGGGTTGTGGTGGAAAGGGAAGGGGACAAAGGGCTGCTGTGCGGACATGTGCGAAATACAGATAAAGAGGTGAAAACCATTAAAATATTGACGTTTTCAACCGCTGCCACATGCTGTATCAGAACACGGAGCCGGCTGCAAGTGCAGATAGCTCACTCTGTGAATAAATGCGGTCTTAACGCACAATCCTCCAAGAAGTCTTAAAGTAGCAACATGCCTGTGTATTACAACTCAGCGAAGCATGCGAACTCCAAAAACGTACAGCTGCGAATAATCAATGAAAAGCTTTCCGACGAAAGAAATCAGCTGACACATGAACGTTAGGCTGAGCAGCGATTGATTTACAGCTGTGCTTTAATGGTATTTTCAGCAGTGAGATTCACATCTGCAGGCCAAAAGCTGTGTCATTGCTACAAACTCTTCTACTTACCGAAGTCGAAAAGCGGAGAAGTTTTGAAACACTGCTTCGTTTCCCGGGGCAGCCCAGCTTTCCAAGCACTCATTCACTCCTTTCTTCGGGACTCTCTCCTTCTCCCTCCCACAAACCCGCCCCGCTACCATCTGACGCCATCCTTTCTCCCCCCGTTTACGCCCCTTTCTCGCCTCCCCCTCTCGCTCCCATCCCCCACCCCTGCCGTGTGCCACAGAGAAAGTAGACGAAAAGTTGTAGCGATGATTAGAAAAAAAAATTACTATTTCCTGGATGTTCTTATTCTCAGCTCTTCAATTAAACGCGTCGAGAACGATCTACGCACTCCTTTTTTGTCTGTGCAATGAAATTCAGTTTTTTAAATCTTAATGGGTACTGCTAAAAACACATAAGTGTAGACATATCATATATTGCATATATTTAGGTGAGATATCATTTTACATAATGTTATTTTACTGGGATATTTGATTATTTATGTTCAGTCTGACCAATGAAATAGTCCTGGATAAATATTATCATTATGAAAAAACAATTTTGCCTCACATACTTAAAGTGCGCCTTTCATGCTTTTTATGTTGAGGTCACCATACGTTTGAGTAATCCATGTGAGTCAAAAGCCTTTTTTTTGGTGTTGCCTCTGTATGATGTTACAAAAACAGAGCGATATACCTAATATTGGCCTCGCAGACACACAGCTCTGGCTGTGATTACAGCAGCAGCTGTTCAAAGCTTTTGTTTATGAGGAGGGGCCAATAAGAAGAATGAAAGAGAGCTGCTAAAGTGGTTTAAGACACAGGATGAGAGGATAAGCTGGGTGGCAGCACTGAGGCTGAGTGTGAAAAAAATAAGGAATTATTAAAAAGGGAAACTATATGGAGCTGTACATGAGAGTAAGAAATTCTCCTTAAAAAGCTGACAACAGATAAACATTTTGCTTGTGATGACTTGTGATTTGGATTTTGACTTTAACGCAACAGTTCAGCAACAAGATATCATCCTGAAACCAGTTTGCCAAATATGGAGCTAAAACCAGGAGCTGTTGGTTTAGTTTAATAAAACACTGTGTAAACAAAAAAACAGAAAAACAAAAGGTTTTAAACTGGCTTTTATGAGACCACGATAACTGTTTTAATCATTTTATCAAATATTTCTTTAAATGCATAACATTGTTACCAAAATCTTTAAGGAGTAAGGGTTTGTGATTTGAATGTTTATAAATGGTTTAAAGCGCTTGAGCTGATGGCAGCTGGACTCCTTTTAGGTTCTTGTATATGTTTTCTTCAAGCTTTTTCTGAGTTGAAGATGCCTTTCAGATAAGAGACTAAACATCTTCAACAACCTGAAAGAAGTTTAGCTGCCTTTGATTTGAGTACTTTAGACTTAACATGACTGAACTGGAAGACTGAGAACCTCGACGGATGATGCTTGTGAATGGTTTTGTATAGATTGGATCAGGTTGGCATCAACTTATAACTTAAGATAGCCTTGACTACCAGACATTTAAGGCACCAGAACAGCCTTAAAAGCTTCCCTCTGCATGTTGAGAGTAGTTTGACCTAGAGCCACGAGCCACTCTTAAACATGTTATGACAGTGAGGTATAATCAAACTGCTAAAACTTGAGGAAGACCTTCACTCTGCGAAAATTATAAAAGGAACAAATGCACTGCAGGGTGTTTTTAAAGGACTGTGTGTTGTGCACCGATAGTGTTGTGTACTGAAAGTTAAATTCCTTTATAAGTGTGTTTGTAAAAACAGCCTCATGCTGTCATAGCCAATTTTTCTCAGATCCCTGTACTGATTTCTGGTGTGTCTAATGATGTTTAAAATACATATGCATGTTTGATTGTAAGTCTGTTGCTCATCAGAAAGGCGCATCATCATCATCATCATCATTATTATGGCCTACATACCGTATAGCTGTGAACCCTGAACCACTGCTGCAACAGGCACAATTAAAATCACAATTAAAATAAAAATAAATAAACGAAAGAGAAAAGAGAAAGAAAATGTAGTTTCAGTTTTAATTTCTCTGTATGTTTTATACAATGAATGTTATCATTTACCATTTAAGGAAACATTTAAGGAAAGTTGCACATAGTAACAGAAAATTACCAGAACATTTTCTTTTCTTTTGTTCCTGTTGGATTTTTTTGGTTTGTTTGTTGGGTTGTTGTTAGGGTTTTTTTTACAGCGTGCGACCTCCCACAGTGCACTGCACATGTAGTTTAAATACCATCACTGATCTTTATTAAGTTTTGCCTGCTCTCTCCTGTAGTTTATGCATTCAGCGGGCTCGTTGTTCTCCTCTTTTCTGCCTTTTCTTTCCCCCCAGCTGCAAGCTGGTTACAGCAGATTGCTGCCTCTCCTTCAGAGTAGTTTTGCTTGAATTTGCTGTCTGTTACAGAGGAGCTATTCCTCCCCAGTGTTGTTAAGTTCAACTTATGATAGGAAGGGCCTTAAGATGACTGCTGTAGTCTCAAGCTTCAAGCCACTTTACACTGTTTGATAACACTGACTTCAACTTCAATCTTTTTTAATTTCACGGGATTGCGTTTTTTGTCTTATTTGTCATACACCCTTCTTATTCAGTATAAGACAAAAGCTCTAAAGCTTCTCATTTTAGTAAGAAAAGACGACATACAGTCTTGACACAGTCCAGTCTGTATGTTCTAGTATTACATGTGTCACTATGATATATACTGTTTGGGTTTTCTTTCTATATTTTGGGTGTTTGTGACGACCACACTGTTTTCCGCTGCATTCCTGTTGCATACATTTTGAACAAGCCATACACAAAACCTAATGAAAAAATAAAGCCAAGAAACCCCTCTTCCAGGCCTGCTAACTCCAGCTTTCATTTCGTCTCTGGAGTGATGCAGTGGGAGCTTTTTTTTTTTTTTTTTTTTTAAGAGCTGCCGCCCTCGTGGCACTCTTCACAGACTCACACTTTACAGTTTGTCTCCTCACTCACACAGTGCCACAGTTCTGCGCTGCAGCCGAGCCACTGTATCATTTGGGTTGCCCTGCCTTCAGAACTTCCTCTTTCCACACCAGTGCTGTTTGTGTGTCTCATCTTGGTGAGAACACTGTGGGAGGCAGATAAGTCTGTAAATAGAGACGTGTGGTCATGACATAGGAAGACGTTCTTAGCTGCTGGGTAACTCCATGGGAAATGCAGACAGGACTTGGGAGACACTGGGAAAGATGAGTGGGTTTGATGGTTAGTGACTGTGGGGAGGAAGTTATGATGATGCCATTCCTGGTGCATGTGTTTACAGATTTGTATGTGGGTGTGTGTGAAAATCACGGCTGCCTGGTATATTTGTGTTAATTGCAGTAGGGCTTTTAATATATAGCTGCACACTTTCTAAAACTATCAATGCGTAAATCTTGCTAGAATCTGAAAAATCTAGACATAACTGGTGGTTTTTAAGTTTCTTATAAGAAGCTGACTTTATGTGGATACAGGTTTTGTTCATGTTGCTGCCATGATGTGTAGCAGGAAGCTGGACCCAATTGCTGGAAACAGACGGAGGTAACAAAAAAAAATCAACTTTTACTGAGGTTGAATTCAGAAAGGTCCAAAATGGCACGGGGCCAACAGCAAAACACACAACGCAAGGGTAAACTGGCTCAAATCTGACAAAAGACAAAGGGTAATTGGGGCAGAGTGGAGACATCCGGGAAACTACACACAGACCTGGGAAAGTTAAAACAAGAGACAAATGCCTATCAAATCAAAACAGAAAGCAACATTACAGAGGAACACCTCAACTCACAACAACAGAGACAAAGACTCTTACAACACAATATTAGGGAATATGAGGGATGCTAGACTTAAGTAAAGGAGGAGGAGAAAGGAATCCAAGATAAATCACAAGTGAAAACACCAAACAGAATACAGCGTGACAAAAAATGAAGACTAAGAATCTTAAAGACACGAAACAAACAGAAGATAAACAGAAGATACTAACAAAAAATAGGAATCAACTGGAAATTACACAAAACTGAGTCAAAAATCCAGGACCACCACAGTAGCTGGTTATTATGAAATTGCATAAGTATAACCTGCTTTGCACATGTTTTTTTTTGTTTACCCCACTGAGGACAGTGTTTGTCTATCCTTCACCCTAAATCTGACAATTTCTCATCTCATTTAAGGTTGTAAAATGGCACAAAACTACTAAATTTTTATCTATTAATCCACAACTTCATGATTTATATTGTGTTATAGTGGAAACGACTTGAAAGGTTTTGTAAAAACAAATTCCTAGGATTCCTTTATAAGTTACTTATGCATGTTAATTATAATTATTTGCAAATATACCAGTAAATATACCAAATACAAGCGAGCATTTGTAGTAAATCCTCATGCACATTGGTACTGAATGTATTACATTATCTGTCATTAAATTGTGAATGCAGTCATATGAAAAAGAAAGCTTTCACAGGACTGTCTGCAGTCACAGGACTGCAGAACATGCAAAACATTTCTCAATGATTTCATCTGCCTCTTGCATTACTGTCGAGGAATGTTCCCCCACTCTTCTTTGCAACGTTGTTTCAGTTCATTGAGGTCTCCGGGCATTCGTTGATGCGCAGCTCTCTTAAGTTTATGCCACAGCACTTCAATCAGGTTGAAGTCTGCCCTTTGTGATTGCAACACCTTGATTCTTTTTCTTTTTTTGTTCAACGATTCTGTTGTTGATTTGCTCCTGTGTTTGCAATCACTGTCCTGTTGCATGATCCACTTTCAGTCCAGCTGTCAGACAGATGGCTTCACATTTGACTATAGAATACTTTGGTGTGCAGAGGAGTTTATGGCTGACTCAATAACTGCAAGGACTGCAACTTTGAAAAGTCGTAAAATGTAATAATTAACATGATAACTGAGGCCCGTAGAGTCTGAGATGCAGGTATTTGATGTTTAGCCGTTTCTCAGAGCACTGCATGGTCTGACATTAGGGTGAATTTACAGGGTCATGCACT